GTAAGTTTTTTTTTTTAACATAATAGTTGTCAAATTATAACATTTATAAAATTTGGTAGGACTTTCTCTCTACCCCTCTATAATGGTGCTCCAAAATGACATTTTCATTTCACATTATGTGAGAAAATAATAAAATTTTGCTTGAAAATTATTGCCAATTTCTCCTCATTTGACATATTTTATTTAAAATATATATATATATATATATCAAGCAATTTTTCTTTTCAAGTTTAAAATAGAAATAAAAATAAAACACAATACAAAAATGTTAGGAAACAACATTGCTCAATTAGCGATGCTCTCCCTGTCTTTGGGACATGTCTTTTCAATTATGACATTGTCATCAATTTACGTTGTCATTAGATACTAGACTTTAATAAAAATTTTAAAAAATAATAATAATTTATATTTATTTCATTTTTTTTTAAATCTCTACTGAAATTTATAATTTAAATACAACAAATTCTCAAGTAAAACAATTATCTGTAATGATAATGACAATTTTAATAGTGCTATAAAAGGACAGAACACCTAACATCCTATGTAAAAAAATAAAAATAAAAGAATAAAAAATCAATCATATAAAAATAATATAAGGTTTATATAATTTATTAAAAACTGAACTATGTCTATCATAATTATTGCAATTGTTTCACACTACGTAGAAGAATGAGTTATAATCTAGTAACCCTATCGGTATAAGAGATATAATTAGAGTTACATATTGTAAATGTGAGAAATTACTAAAATACCCTTAAACCATGTTGGATTCATGAGACACATGATTCAGTGTACAATAATACTATCAAACTCTAATTACACAATACTTTTTTCCTCTTTAGTGCACGAGATATTGTTTGTATCTAAGTTAATTATGTTTGTCTTAGTTATGTTTGTCATGCTAAATTATTTATTTATTTATTTCTAAACAAACAAACAGAAAATGAAAGATTTAAATTTTGGATCATAAAACAATATTGCAATATTGGCAATAGAAAACAATGGTGAACTAATAACTACATATATGACTACGAGCATTGATAGAGACCTCTTCCAATTATCACCCCCCACAGACACATGACAGATGGTGATTGGAGGAGAAGAAAAACAAAAAAAAAACAAAAAAAAAAAATTGACCAATAAAAGACAGAGAGGGTCAAGGGGGTGGGGGGGAAAAAAGGGGGTCTAAGTCTTTTTCCTTATGACTATTACCTCACAAAGTTCTACGTAGTTTTTTTCTTCTTTTGATTTCATAAAACACTTCAATGACTCTATAATGAACCTTTTCATTTTTTTTCCTCACACAATTTTTATTTTTTATCTTGGTAACTTTGTTCACTTGTCAACAAAGAGCTTTTTGTAGTCTTACAATTTGAACCTTTGCATCACAATTGTTTTGTTTATGATTTTTAGTACTGCATAGTTTGATGGAAAAAAAACTCAAATTCATCAATAATTCTAGAGGGGAAGGACTGAGTGGTTCCTATGAAAAGTAGTCTCCCCAAAAGTTGCGGCCACTGAAACAGACACCTATGGTGATAAAAATAATAAAAATAAAAATACAAATTTAAAAAAAGAGAGTTCATTGTGACATACACCTTTGGTGGTAACAGAGAAAGTTGGGTACAATCCCAAACTTAAAAACATCAATCCTATAAAATAAGGATTTTTTTTTTTTTAAAGCGTGTAAATTATATTTATTTTAAATGTTCACATTTCATTAAATTTAAATAGTAGTGCCATACAAACCAAAAATATATATACTCAATTTTGATTCAGAATGAAGAGTCACCAATGTGACTTATATTTTTAAAATTATTATTGTCACATATTCTGGTACATAATTCTATATTGATTTTATATTTGTGAATTACTCTCTCAAATTTAAACCTACACTATACATTTTATTTTTTAGCTATTTTTGGGGCTAATTTTTTACTCCGAACCTTTTTCCAACTTCAAATTGTTTTAGAAAAAAAATTAAAGAGTTAGAAAAATATTTTGAGAAGTGACTGCAAATGAAATCTATATTATAGGTTTAAACTTAATATGATATGAGTTAAATTCAAAATAAATTTAGCTTATACATTTCATTTTCAAGTCATTTTTGAAGAAATCTTTTTAGGCTAGTCTCACTATCAATTTCACAGGTAGTGCTATGGTAAATACTCCCCAAAAGATATATATTATATGTATTTTTATTATATATTTTTATGATATATTATGTATTTTGTAATATATGTTATAAAAATATATGACAGTGTATATGATACATACCCTTAGGTGTATCCACAACCATAGAATTTCCTTCACATGCTCACATAATAATAAATAAATAAAGATGATCAAATGCCTAGAAGCTGCTAGATCTTCCTTGTCCCAGTTTGATACTGATGAGCAGTTTTCAACCCAAAAAGACATACAATTTTAATGGTTATAATCATTCCATCATTTTGGATTGCTATGTATGATGGAAGAAGTTGTTTGGTGGTTTTGGGACACGGCTACGTAATATCCCAAGAACTTTCTGATTGGAGGAGAATGTGAGGTTTACAATTTTATGTTGAATAATCAAAAATTAACATAAAACATGATATTTGATGATTGGTGAGGGATATGGATAAACGGCGTCCATGGAGCACCAAGTAATTTTTCATATATGTAAGTGACCTATAAAGATTAGGTCCTCCAAGACTTTCACTTTGCACTTAGCCTAACTAAAGTGTCTTTAATTACAATGTTTCTCAAATGTCAGGATAAGTTAAGTGCTTGAACGAGCAAGTACTGTACAAACTATGCAACTTTGGAGGGGGGGAAAATCATCCTAATAGTAATCGAAAATTCTTACTCACAAATAATAATAAGTTGTGTAGATTTATTTTATATGTGAATTGTATAAAATATAAGTTAAATCTCATCCTGGGACTGTTTTTTGAGTACACAACATTTCCCAAAAAAAAAAAAAAAAAAAAAAGAGAGAAAATCATCTCTAACACCAAAGGAGAATCTCTCTTCTTTTTCATTTAGGTTAAATAAATATATTGTTGTTCTTCAAAATATAGTTATTTATAGTTTTGGTTCACATTATTTTAATCATATTAATTTGATTCTGAATTTATTCAAATTATGTTTAAATGATGCCAATGTCGTTTCTATGATAAGAGCATTTTTGTCCAAATTTAGATTGAAATTTGAATGGAAAGAGATCAACAGTCAAAACTTTCTATTCTCTATACCCTATATGCATTTTTATCTAGATGGTAGTGGCTTTCCTTCGGTCCTAGATCAAATTAGAGGGTGCTGTTGGGCCTGTAAGGGTTCACCATGAGTTCCGTTTCGATAATCTGAACCGTTTAATGTATGGAACTCGTCGAGTACGATATGCTTATAAAAAATCACGTTGATCGGATATCGATAGCTATCTCATTGGATCAGTCTTCTATCAATCGTTTATTTTTTCACTATCCATTTTTTTTATACAGAACTGATTTGATCACGTAATTGTCAATATCTGATCAACGTAATATTTTTCAAACATATATTACTCGACGAGTTCTACATATTGAACGATTCGAATTATCAAAACGAGACCTATGGTGAATCTTCACAAATTTAACAACACCCTCCAACCTAATGTGAAATTGAAAGAGAGCCAGGCCTATGTAGATATCTCAAGACATGATAAAATGTTTAATGGTGCATTAAGGATAGTAACGAGACATTGAAAGGCTAGACTGACCTTCTTAGCCCTCCTGTTGATTGCACTACAGGAAAAAGAAGTTTAGGCGGCGTTTTTTTAACGACGCATTTTTAAACGTCATGCTTATAAAAAATCACGTTGATCGGATATCGATAGCTATCTCATTGGATCAGTCTTCTATCAATCGTTTATTTTTTCACTATCCATTTTTTTTATACAGAACTGATTTGATCACGTAATTGTCAATATCTGATCAACGTGATATTTTTCAAACATATATTACTCGACGAGTTTTACATATTGCACGATTCGAATTATCAAAACGAGACCTGTGGTGAATCTTCACAAATCTAACAACACCCTCCAACCTAATGTGAAATTGAAAGAGAGCCAGGCCTATGTAGATATCCCAAGACATGATAAAATGTTTAATGGTGCATTAAGGATAGTAACGAGACATTGAAAGGCTAGACTGACCTTCCTAGCCCTCCTGTTGATTGACTCAATGCCTACAGCTATTTTATGTTTGTTGCAAATTTTGATTTGATTTCTAAAGTTGTAGAGGTCAAAACAAGTTTTTGAGCCTGAGTCTCCTAAATATTTTTACGACAATGCTACGTAGCTCAAATTTTGTGGCTCAAAAGTGGCTCAAATGACCAAAACGACGTCGTTTTGAGTACAGAACAACATAAAAATGGCCAAAACGACGTCGTTTTGGCCATTTGAGCCACTTTTGAGCCACAAAATTTGAGCTACGAGACATTTTCCATATTTTTATTAGTAATTAAGTAAGCTCGCTTTAAAATAATAAAATAAAAGCAAAAGCATTTGACAATAATATCACAATTATCAAATTTATATATCATAAAATTTGTATAAAATAAATATTTAATTTATAATATACAAATGAAAAATAAGTGAGAGCACTAATTAGTGCTATCACTAAAGATGTGGCAGTGGGCCTCACCATAAATGATTTGATGTTTTGGTCTTGGTGTTGTATTTTTTTCTTTTTTTATTGAATGCCATGTCATTAGTGGTCTTTTTAGAGCTCCAAAATTAGTGATCTCTATCATTGTTGTATACAAATATAATCACCGTAGTATTATTGAAAATCTGCTCTATCATTGTTGTATACAAATATAATCACCGTAGTATTATTGAAAATCTGATAATAAAATCTTTTGTCATGTTGAGGTTTATTCAAACATAAATTAAATAAGTCAAGAATCCAATTAACACAATTATAACACTAACACAAAAGATTTAAAACAAAAAAAAAATGATAGTTTAAAGAATCAATGGTATATTTAATCTTTTTCATTTTCTCTATGGCTTTGAGAGCAACGACTTGTTCTTTGTAAACTGCCAAATCCCCATAGCTCCTCCCACTTTGTTATCTTCGTTCCTTCTTCTCTCTCTCCCACACACACGCTCTCTCTCTTCCTATATTCTATTACCATTTTCGTTCTTTTCTCCATCTGGAAAGAGAAAGAAACCAAGAAAAACCCATAAACCAGGAGAGAGAGAGAGAGAGAGAGAGAGATATGGAAGAAGGGATCGCAGTGGAGGCAGAAGATCAACAACAGTACCACAGGAGTAGTTGGAGAGTGATGTCGCCGGAGATAGTAGAGATCGGAGAAGAGAGCCAGAGCATGGTAAGCAGCAGCAGCAACAAAGATAGAGACATGAATGATGTTTATGTAGCTGTTGGAAGAGATGACTTAGGTGTGGTGAAATGGGCAATTGATCACGCTGTCTCTCCCGGTGCTCGAGTTTTTCTTGTTCATGTCTTCCCTCCCATCACCTACATCCCTACCCCTGGTAACACTTCTATTTTTACTTGATCATCTGCTCTTAATTGTGTTTTCTTAACAAAATTCTAGCTAGATTGAGCTGTGTTGTGTCTATTTAACTTTAAACTTGGACCGTTGTATCACTACACGATGCAATGAAAAGAAAATAATTGCCGGGAATCCTGATCAATTTCTACCTAATTCTTTGACAAGCGCAACTTTAATAGTCAAAGTCAGAATGACCATTTCTTTAGCTTGTTACCGTGCAAAAAAAGAGTTATATTTTAACTGTTCCACTCGAATAGTGGTTTGTCGTTTTGACACAATCAAATTCAACATCACTATTATCTAATTAACTGCATGCCCACTCTAGATCAACTCTCACTGATCTAGATGAATATCAATTTTTTTTTCAATTATTTTGATTTCTTAGTTTTTGAAGATGAATAATTTGTGATTCTTCGCTAGTTTAACTTTTTGTAATATAATTTTAAGTATTTTTTAGTTTTGGTTTGTGGAAATGGTCAATTTTGGTAAAAAACAATTGAGGTTTGTAGCAGAAAATTTAATGTAGTAAAAAATAGTTTTGCCAAATTCTACACTAAATTTGGCATAAGATTTAGTTTTGTCATTTTTTAGCAATGGATTTGACTCACCGTCGAAAAGTTTTCTCATTTTTTAACACTTTAACAAGCCTTCTGGTGTGACTATTGGAGCTGCTCTAACGCTATATCCAACCACGACATCCATCTCCACAACTCAAGTATTGTGGCCAGGCTGCCTAGCCTCTTATAAAATCATGGTCAAATTACACCCACAATACTTACATTTTGTCCTGCATCAATTTAGTTCTTTTAATTCTAATCATATCGGTTTTACCTTAAATATTTTTTACATTATGTAGTCCAATGCCCTTTTAGAAATTGAATTGAAATTAATGGACAAAATAGTTCATTCACTCTCCGATAATGAGTTGGCAATCTAGTTTAAAATGTTTTGAATGAACCATTTTTGCCATTGATTTCTTTCATTTTTTTTTAATAGAAGTTATCAATTAGACTAAAATTGATACAATATAATAAAAAAATTTAAAAAAACAAAAATGATACAATTGAAATGTCAAGAATCAAAAATAATATAAGAGGAAAATTATAGAAATTACAACCATAGTTTGCCATAAAACCGTACATATTAGATAAATCAATAGCCATTTTCACAAGTGAATTTTGTACCATTTTCACTTCTTTTTGTTCATATTAATAGTGAGGGAATTTTATTGATTGAATGTTGTTCTCCTATAGTTGGGAGGCTATCTAGAAGTCAATTGAGTGAAGAACAAGTTCGAGTGTATATCAATGAAGATAACAACAGGCGGAGACACCTCTTGCAGAAATACATTCGCCTTTGCAACGATGCCAAGGTGCATTTTGTATAGCTGATTGCATACAGATTTACTAGAAATTGTTCCTGTAGTATAGTTGCATGTTTGTATAATTCACTTTATACAGATTTACTACAAATTGTTCGTGTAGTATAAAATAGCACTGTGATATATACTGTATTAAATTTGGCCCAATATATAACACAATGTGCTATTTTAGCAAAACATATAATACACTATTAGAGTGAGTGTTTTATGTTGTGCTATTATTGCTATACCTAAATACTACACAACTAGAATTGATCTTAGCTTTTGATTATGGCAACGTGACAATATAAGATCAATATGAGATAAAACAGATGATCCGTGTTCGGAAAGTTGATGTTTAGTTGTTGTGCATGTTTGGTTTTGGTTTTTACAGGTGACAGTGGATACAATGTTGCTGGAGAGCAATACAACAGCCAAAGCAATTCTTGATCTTATTCCTGTCCTTAACATAACTAACCTTGTCATTGGAACCAAACGCCCATCTTCCTCAAGGTACGTACAGTCTCTGTTCTTGCTTTGTATCTATCTATTTACCTCCCCATTGCAATGTCATGTATATATATAGCTTGATTTGTTGCTGATTGAATCTGAAATGTACTTACTACACAGAATGTGCAATTATTCTTGCTGCATTTGGAATTCCTTCCACTTTTCTAATGCTGAGAATAGGTACACACACATTATTCTAACTTTAAGTGCAAATGTCTATACAATCCCAAAAAAAAAAAAGTTAATTATACTTTTTACCTTTATAATTTAACTCAAATTTCACTTTAGTTCATATTATTTCAATTTAAATAAATTTGTCTCTATAGTTTAAGTCCAATTTCAATTTGGTCCGTTCGTTCAAATTGGAAGTTAAAATTAACAATTTTTGAACATTCACAATTTTTTAAAGTGTACACAAAAACAAAATTAATAGAAAATTAGACGGAATGACCAAATTGAAACTACACTTAAAGTGTAGGGACCAAATTGTTCAATTTCAAATTATAAGGATTAAAGTAAAATTTGAATCAAATTATAGGAGTGAAAAGTGTAATTAATCAAAAAATTATATACTAAGGCCTATAACGCCATTGAATTTATTTATTTTTTTAAAAAAGAATATATAAATAAAAAATAAAAAAACTTAGACAAGTGTACATCTCAAGAGAGTGATAAATGTGTCAAACCATTAATTTTAAACTTTTAATTTGAATAAAATGACCACAATAAAGTGTAAGGAACAAATTATTTGATTTAAAATATTTGTGAAATTTGAATCAAATTACATGAATTAAAAATGTAGTTTACCCTTGATTTTATCATCTTACAGCAAAAAAAAACCCATCAAATTGTTTTAAGGATAGCTATGAAATACTTATTGCGAAATGTTAATGATGGTCTAATCTCCAACTGTTAGTCTCAATACACATGTAAAAAACTATTTATAAATATGTGTAAATGTAGAAGAATGTTGTTGCATAAGCTCAATTCATGCTAATTATAATACTGATATGTCACAGCAAAACTTGACCTCAAGGCTAAGTAGATAAATTCATATTTCAAATTCATGAAAGATTAATACTAAGAACACAGCACTTGGTCACAGAACACCAACACCATGCTCTTTGTATCCGATTCTGTGGCCAGTTTATGTGTTTGTCAAGAAAAATGGGTAACTGCAGATTTTGCATCTTGAATTGAAAATGAGGAATTGGTAGTATAATTCTGTTTTTTTTCTTTCTGTGTGCAGGAGGTTGATGATGAAGGGAATGGGAAAGGGGGAGTATGTGAAGAAGAATGCACCAGAGTTTTGTGAGGTTAGCATTGTATATGATGGCAAGAAGCTTGTGGATGATTCCCAACAACAACAACAGGTAGTAGTACTTCCTTCTGCTCTTGCATCCAGTCGCCGGAGGAGACCGGCCTTAACTCTGCTATCCCAAAAGAACTTCCTTCAGTGTGTATGCCTTTCTTCAGGCACCAAATCTGATTGAGTTTTAAAATTTTTTAAAAAAATTAAAATTAAAAATATGGAGAGAAAAAATATAAAGACTTCTCTGGTTTTGCATACCATGGATGGAGTATGCAGAGGACACAGTCCAGAATGATGTTAACAATATAGATCCAAATACACATTGCATTGGCCACAAAACCACATGTATTCTCATTCTGTCTATGTTTTTTTTTTTTTTAATAATAAAATTTTTGTATGTTAAACATTTTTAATATGGAAACAGAAAAGCTACAAATCCAGAACATTGAATTAAAAGCTGATGTATGGTGTGTGTGGATTGGATTCTACTTTTATATTATGAGATCCATATTTAGAATAAATCACAACCACAATATTCAATATGTTTGATTTCAATTTTTTTGATTCAATTTTTTAAAAATTGAGTTTTTTATTTTTCATATTTTTTGGTTTTTAGCTAATATTTTTAAAATTTTAAGTAATTTTTTTATTTTTTTAGATATACCTTATTTAGATGTATTTAAAAAGTAAAATATTTATAATTTTTTTAAAAAAATTAATAAATACACAAGAATATGTAAAATGTATTGAATTTTTGCATTTTTTTGTATTTTGGGTATTTAGTCAATTTTCTAAAGATTTTTTTAAGTGTATTTATGTTAGGTGTATTTAAAAATTAAAAAAATTACTTAGATTATTAAAAAAAATTCAATAAAAATAAAAAAAATATGAAAAATTAAAATTTTCAATTTTTTAAAAGGTAAATCCTAAAAATCCAAACCAAACAAACTTGATTTTTTATGTATTTTTCTGCATAAATTTTATGGGTGTATAATATTGCTGATATGGAAATAAATCTAATAAAAAAAGGAAAATGCTAGACATGAAAAAAAGAAAACGATAGAAGCACTCTTACGAATGAGCAAAATGGAAATGACTCAAGTTTATATCGCTATTATCTACACTTGGAAATGACTCAGGTTTACATCCCTATTATCTATATTTTTTCATATTCTATTTTGTGAGTTTCATTCTGGAAGTATAACGATAATTCAAATATTTATTTCGTAAGTCCAATAATAAAGATAAATTATGAAAGAAATCAATGTCATTGGCCATCAGTAGACACGCAAATAAATTACATTTTATTTTTCAAGATAGACAACAATTATGAGTTTAAATTTAAACTATCTATTTTATAAAAAAAGATATGTTTTGTTTATATATTCATTGATATCTAATGAAATTGATTTTTTGTTGGAACTAGATGAACTATTTGAATTATCATTATAGGCCCGAGATGAGTCCACAAAATAGAGTAGGAAGAAATATGAAAAATAAAAATACACAAAGAAACTATTCCCAATTGGAAAATAAAAATATTATGAACCCCAAACGTTTTACTAACATTTCTATCAACTGTCTAATGACTCGCATAGGTGTGAGACTCATATTATGTGAGTCTCATGTAAATACCACATTCATATAAAACGTTTGATAAAAATATTAATAAAATATTTAAAATTTCTAACATTACTCACCTGTTTCTTTGCAACCTTCGGTCAAGCAAGACTGAGATATTACAAGGGCGAAATGATCATTTGATGTCTACTTGAGTGAAGAACAGAACAATAAAAGAACACTAGAGTCGAATTGGGTTATATTCTTGTCTAAAACACTCTCAGACTCGCATGTAAAAAAAAAAAATGCAATTACAATAACATGATATTTGTTTAACAGACAATTTTTTTTTTTTATAAAAACATGTGAGGTGAAAACGGTTTTGTGATGGGGTGTAAGTAAAAGGTTGTAGAAGTGCAAGTGTGACTTGTTTATATAAATTTATACATTTTTTTGAAATAATTTTTAGGGTAAATTATAATTTAACCCCCTGTGGTTTGCCTCAAAAAAAAACACAGAGCCCCTCTATAGTTTTATTTGTAACACTTAAACCCTCTATACTTCATACCAGAGTGCAAAATCCAACGGAACTGTTTGTTTAAACAGTGCGTGTGTTGCACGACCAAAACTGATGAGTGGAGCACGTTTTCTCGCCCAAAAACATATGGCAAATGACCAAAACACCATTATTGCCATATATATACACAAATCAAGACCCAAATAAGATAGAACCCTAAACTAAAATGTTCCCAGATTGTCCGAAAGTTGTCCAAATTTTTTCAAAGTTGAAAATTATTGTTGGATGGCTTCTTTATTTGCTTCCGAAAGTGGACAGTCAATGACAAATGCTCCAAGACTATGTTATTGTAGAGAGAGAGATCCCCTGTGAAGACTTCAATGACATCTAGAAATATGGGTAGAAGGTTTTATGGTTGTGCAAGATATGGGGTAAGCAAAAATTAATTTTTTTTTTTTTGGAAAAAAAAGATTGAATTTTTTTTGAAAAGGAATTTGTGGACTCATATTTTTTTATTATAGGTTGATGTAACTTGTGGCTACTTTGAATGGGTTGATCCACCCATTTGCTAACGTGGGAGGGAGGTGTTGCCAAAGATGGTTGCAAAGATGAACAGATTGGAGAAGGAACTAGCAAGAAGTCGTAGAAGGGAAAAAATGTTTTGCAAAGTTCTGTTTGGGACATGGGTTTTTTTCTTTATCATGACAATGTTCTGGGTGAAGTTTGCTGGAGTAAAGAAAAATTGGTTGTTATTGGGCCATAGAGTTTGAGAGATGAAAAATATAGTCAAGGTAGAAAATGAAGGTGTACAATGGTCTGTGAAGCAATTGTAATGAAAAATGAAGGTGTAAAATGAAAGAATGTTTTGGTCAAGAAATGTATGCATCTAATAAACTAAAGAAATTGTAATGAAAGAATGTTTTGTTCATTACATCTTCCAAGAACATTAAAGAATAGAAACATATTGGTTCTCATTCTTCTCCTGTAAAACATGCTTCATTTGTAATGAAAGAATGTTTTGGTGAAGAAAGTTAACCTACTTGTACTTGATTTGGATCCTACGAAACATGCTTCATTTGCTTCAACCCAAAAACATGCTTCATTTCCTTGATTTCAAACATAATTCAAAAACATGTTTCAACCCAAAAACATAGTAAACTAAGATACATGTATTAATAAAGGTACACAAAAACATGCTTGATTTGGATCCTGTAAAACATACGTCATTTGCTTCAGTTCACATTACTTTAATACAAGCCACAATTCAACCCACTGGACTTCTCAAAACATAGTAAACTAAGATACTAGCCAGTTTCAAATTCAAAAACAAATTGGTACAAGCCACTTAATGGTTTAACAAGTTGAAAACTACTCAAAACACAACAAAACCTGAGTTGTAGCTTTCTCTGCCATCACGCTTTCCCTTTGCCTTTGTCAGTTTGCCTCTGAGTTGTAACTTTTGCAGACCCACCTCCTCCTCTACCTCTTCTAATGAAGCTACCTCCCAATGTAGATCTAGATATAACCCTGCCACCTCCAACTGGTTCACTCATTCCTCTGCCATAACTAGTGGGCTGCAAAATAACACACACAAGTATCCAATTACATTTTGTCAAATACTATAAAAGCAAATGAACTTGCAAATGAAATTTGACTATACTTGAGATGAGGAGTAATCAAATTCTGGAGAACTGTATTGAACTCTACTGGGCTGCAATGATAATGGTCCAAGTAAGCAATTATATGTTGTCAACTATGTCAAAAACCAAATGACACCCATAGAACAGAGAGCTTACCTGAGATGCTGATGTCTTGCATGTCATACTTGGAAATTCTTCAAATATGTGGCCAATTCTAGTGGGCTGCAATGATGTAACAAGTACGCAAATTAACAATAAAATTGGGCTGCAATATATGCAAAGTGGACAGATCTTACTTGAGATGAAGATGTGTTGGCCCTCCTACTAAGGAGCTTCGTTCTGGGCTGCAATGATTTATATTTGTATTAAGTCATTGTTGTGGAATGTACTGCAAAATGAAATGAAATTGGAGGTTCAGGTTACTTGATATGCTGTTGTTGTTGCTGTTGCTAGTGTTGATGAAGCAGTTGCAATTGCTGTTGCTGTTGCTGCTGAAGATGGTTGTTGCTGGTTACGTCTTGTTGGCTTAAAAAGCTTGGACATGGGATGGACAAGACCCTTACAAGACCTCTGGTTATGACCTTTCTGAAGGCATCTAACACAAACAATGAACCTATGCTGCCTTGAAACTCTGACAGGGTTTATTGGCTCATCTATACCCTTCTTTCTCATTTTTGGTGGTCTTTCAGGCTGCTTTCTGTACAATGGAGGAGCCACTGCTGGCAGTCCTGTTTCAACCCAATCATGCTGTCCTGGAACAGGGTGCATCATTGAGTTATAGGCTACAAGATAATGTTGCTTACTGTAATAAGGGTGCACATAGTCCTCTGGCTTCTCTTTTTAAACAAATATGGAACTTACTGCATGTTTACAAGGTATTCCAGTCAAACCCCACATCCTACAACTATATTTCCTTTCCTCCAAATCAACAATGTGTGTGGTATCACCACAATCTACTTCAAATTTTCTGTCACCACAATAGGTTGCAAAATATATCCTAGCTTGCACTTTCAGTGCTTCTAAATCTTTGACAATGTTGGGACAAATTTCACCAGTGTATTTTTCCATTCCTTCCTTCTTGATTTGGATCATGTGCATTACCCTCATTCTAATCCTTTCAAGCATGCTGATTATGGGTTTGTCCCTAGCTTCCAAGATGTTGTTATTGAATGACTCACACATGTTGTTGACCAATGTATCACACCTACTTATTGGGCTAAAATGGAACCTAGTCTATAAAGCATGATCTATTTTCCTTAGCCACTTGTATGCTTTCTCTTCTGGATCCATCTCCTTCAACTTGTTCATGTGAAATTCAAATTCCCTTACAATCCCAGCTGCAACTGCCTTGCACAATAGGTCCCTCAATTCAATCCCTTTGAACTTTGCTCTGAAATTGGAGTAAATATGCCTCATATAGAATCTATGTTCCACATTTGGCATTACCTCTTCAAATGCAGATACTAATCTCTTCTG